CTAAATGGGCAACTCTCCCTGACTGAATTGCCGGTTGAAAGTTACCTGATAAAAAATCTCCAATCATTGTTTAGTTTAATATTTGGTTGAATTGAGTGCAGTACAACTAATTCATCGTTGTTGTTGAGTGTTAAATTATCATTAAATTGGAAATTCTTACATATACGAGTACCTTATTTCATTTCAGTTATTTTAGTTTCTATTTATTTTCTAGTTATTTTTTTTTAATACAAAAAATGTATTTTGAAAAAAAACGAGCGTGCTGCGCCTTTTTTTCCAAATACATTTTTTCAAGTGACATCACTAGTTGTGACCCTTCTACGACTTGTAGATTTCAAAACGATGTTTCTTTTTTTTTTAAACGCAGCTCCGAAACCCTGTAGCGCGGGTGCTATGCACACACACAGATAACCAGAAATTAAACCCAAACTCACGATGGAAATAAATATAGGTCATACAAATATTTATTCTGGCCCCTCTCAGAATCGAACTCAGGATCTCTTTCTGCATGGCAGTCCAGCATGGTAAACGTTCGGTTACGGAGGCAGGTATCTAGTTACTAGAATTAGTAGCAGTAGAGCTACTTGTGAAAGAGTTCGTCCAGGGAAGTACTGCCACCTTGCCTATCTCTACTGCCAAGCAGTAATACGAGCACAAATGTATTTCGCTTTCGAAGGGTAAGGGTGCTGGTGAAATTACAATCACTTGGGACTTTTCAACTTATGTGGCAGGGTGACAGTAGCAGTGGCAGTGCCTACAAGATCTATGTGATCTAAAGCTCAGAGTGGCAATGCAACTGTTCTGCCGTCCACTAACTAAAAAGCGGTTAAGTGACAAATGGTCAAATATCATTCTTTATAAGCAAAAAATAGAGCACAAAATTATCTTTTAAAAATAGTTAAAATTAGTTAACGTAGGAAATGAAACTAATTTTTCCGGATTTAAATTTACAGAATTTCAATATTCTAAAACTGGGTTGTGATTTTTTATGATATCTTACAAATTATTTTAGTGAACGGCAGTGTTATGGACAGGTATGGACTTACCACCAGTCGCACTGGCTATTATAAAAAAATCATTTGGTATTATAAAAAAAGTATTCACCGTTAGCTAGAGGCACAATTAAATATTAACAAAAATACGTAACTGAGAGTTTAAAGCCGTTCTATGGCTTGTTTCTACAACTGTTCTTCCATTACACGATTCTCATTGAACTATATCGAGCAAACAATGAACTGTAAAGGCAGCTACTCCGAAAGAACGGCGACTTCCTCTCCCCTCCGAGACTCCCATCCCGCATTGACAGCTGGACGTAAATCAAACGACGCCAGCACATCCATCACGGCGCGCAGGCGCATCAATCTACTGAAATAGATCCACTACCATTGCTGGATTGAGATGTTTCGGACTCGTGTGTATTAGCTTAGAAACTTCCTGACTACAAACTTATTTGAAATATAGTCAACATCGAAAATCACTGATCATTAGGCTGCCATCACACATTACACTTTATACCACAAACTTTTAGGTAATTAAGTAAATGTGAACAAACCGTAATGAGGTATTTTATGAGGTATTTATTACCCAAGTAATATTACCACTTACTTACTGTAAAATATATGATATTTTCAGGTATATTTAATAGAAAACATTTCCAACAGCCTATTTTAAAATAGTATATCCTACTAAATATATAGGAAATGGTTATAACTATTGTACATTATTAAATATATTATAACTGCCTCTGTGGTCGAACGGTTACCATGCGGGTCTGCCACGCAGAGGTCCCGAGTTCGATTCCCGGGCTGAGAGAAATATTTGTATGGCTATATATATATATTTATCTCGTGAGTTTGGGTGTAATTTGTGATGTTTTATTTGTGTGACATTTTCATATTATTTTATAATAATAATAATAATAATAATAATAATAATAATTTATTCAGTACAACAGTAATACAAGTACCAATTGCTGGCAGATAAATACAAATTATGAGTTGTGTACATAATCAACAAAATAACAAGTGGACAGGCCATCAATCAGATCCCAAACTAGGGCAACCCTGTACTTTGGGAGCTGATGATGATCCTCAGCCAGTAAACAATCTTACTAATATTTTATAAGTTAGGGAGCCGTGTACAATAAAATTAAAGAAAAAAAAAAAAAAAAAAATTAAAGAAAAAAATTGTGTCCATGGCAACCGCGACACAAGGTTTCTTTAGTGCGGGTCTATGAGTGTGTACGTTGTTTATTTATTTAATCATACGTATTTAGTGGCACGTATCACAACTTTCCTACGGCAAACAACCTAAAACCTAGCCGTTAAAAAAGATGGCGGCTATTAACATGCGACTAAATTTAAAGGGTAATGCGACGTATTAAACTCACTACTGAATATTGTATTTGACCGGTTAACCAAGTGACAGATACAGAAGTATAAAAGAGTATCTAAATTTCTGTATACTGAATATAATTACAACAGGATAGTAGTAAGATTTCTTAAACCAATGTGTCAGTACAATCGTACAGAACCGAAGCACCGACGCATCAAGTGGATAATGCTGTTTTATTTGCTGTATTTGGTTTTTTTTTATGATAATTTTATTGTCTGAAATATATGGAATTATTTTTTAAATTTCAACCTGTATTAATTTTTAGAAATTTGAAATTTTAAAAATTTACTTTTAATGCATACAAACGTTATATTTATACCACAATTTAAGAAAATTTTTTTATCTGTTGATCTGCAAGTTTTAAAAGCTTATCTCTAGAATTTTCGACTAGACACAGATCTTTTACCTAGTTCATGGTTGGGAAACTCAAATTACAACAGCAAATGTGTTGTTCAAATCTTATAAAGTTTTTGTAACTAATAAATAGTAACCTGGTTTGTTAATTGTTAAACCTGCTTGGTTTCAATGGGAACATCCTGGCCGCTGTATGG